TCTGATGAAGGGTCTAGGCCCGAAACGTCAGCCTTCCTGCTCCTATGGTCTGCTTGGCCTGCTGTGTTCATCCAGCTCTACACCTTGTTATCTCAGATTCTCCAGCATCTGCAGTTCCTACTATCTTTGACAAGAAGTGTTTGTCTTCAGAAATACTCAAGTAATAAATGTATGCGCATTTAAAATTAAATATAAGAAGTATATTTTAATTTCTTCGAGAAACAAAAGCATAGACTTTTCCATGTTATAATCATACAAGTTTATTTGGAAACATTCTATTATGTGTTATAAAATCACCACAGTAATCTTCTTTTCAGAATCTAATACCTTTCTGACATCCATACTAATCAAACAAGACAACAGTATTGTTTTAAAACACAATATTGTGACAACTTGTGGTATGCATGCAGGAGCATGTCTGGTTTTGTGACATCACACGAGAAGTAGAGATGAGGGTTCTGTTTTCTTCTCTCGTATGAGCTTGATTTTGCAGTGTTGTGCATCAGTGGCTCATATCTTTCACAAGCCTGCAGACTACCCTTGCTATGTATTTACTGGGTGATGTGTATTCTAGATGTTGCGCTTGGTTCACTCGCCAAGCTGGTTCATTGTTCTGCAGATGGTTCATTACCCTACTAGAAGTTTTAGGAGTCCCCTGTGACTACTGGGCATCAGAGTTAACCCACATCAACCCTACGCCATCTGCTAGCCTGAATCAAAGACCCGTTACCCCTTATGGACAGAACTAACGTTATATACAAAATTCCTTGCGAAGACTGCAACAAATATTACATTGGACAGACAGGAAGAAAATTGGCCACAAGAGTACGCCAACACCAACTAGCAACAAAAAGACACAACCAATACTCACTCATCTCCATCCACATGGATAAGGAAAACCACCAGTTTGGGAAACAACAGGATCCTACGACAGGCCAAACAAGTGCGGGAATTCCTAGAGGCCTGGTTCTCCACTAAGAAGGCCATCAACAAACACATCGAGCTAGACCCTATATATACTCCACTGTGAAGGAAAACCGGAAGCGAGGTAACCTAGCTCAACGGACAGCGTTTAAATACCAGGCGGGAAAACACGACAGCACTTCATCAGAGGATGCACTGATGATGTTACCCAGCAGGGTAATGAAACATCTGCGGAACAACGAACCAGCTCAGTGAGCCAACCAACCACAACATCCAGAACCCGAACTACAAATCTACTCAAAAACCTTTGTATTCTAGATGACTGGATTACATCAGAACAATGCAAAAGTGCCTCTAGTTCTTTTTTTTAAATTCATTCATGGGCAGTGGGTGTGAATGGCTGGGCCAGCGCTTATTGCCAACATAGAGTCATAGAGCTCTACAACACGGAAACAGAGCCTTCAATCCCACTCATCCAGGCCAACCAGATATCCCAACTTAATCTAGTCCCACTTGCCAGCATTTAGCCCATATCCCTCTAAACCCTTCCTATTCATGTACCCATCCAGAAGCCTTTTAAATGTTATAATTGTACCAGCCTCCACCACTACCTCCAACAGCTAATTCCATACATGCACCACTCTCTGCATGAAAAAGTTGCCCCTTGGGTCCCTTTTACATCTTTCCCCTCTCACCTTAAACCTATGCCCTCTAGTTTTGGATTCCCCTACCCTGGGAAAAAGACCTTGGCTATTCACCCTATCCATGCCCCTCATGATTTTATAAACTTCTATAAGGTCACCCCTCAACCTCTGACGCTCCAGGGAAAATAGCCCGTCTATTCAGCTTCTGCCTATAGCTCAAACCTTCCAACCCCGGCAACATCCTTGTAAATTTTTTCTGCACTCTTTCAAGTTTAACAACATCTTTCCTATCACAGGAAGACCAGAATTGAATGCAGCATTCCAAAAGTGGCATAACCAATGTCCCCTAGAGCTTTAAAACATATCAAAAATTACAGGAATTTCAACAGACATGTTCACAACTAAGTGCTCAGATCCCTTCCAAAATTAACTCACCCACAGACTTAAACAATCAAGCAAGTTTACACGGATCACTTACCAGACTAATGTAATTATGTAGAACAATTAAACTACTGTACATTACAAGCTAGAAAACCCTCATGAACCATACTTTGTGAAATACTGGCATAAATGATCTACAAACTGTTGCTGGAAAACTATAGTATTAAGGTAAATTTTCTATTCAATACATGATAACAGCAGAATTGTGGAATATTCTGTCAATGTGATTTGCACCTGATGAACTTGTAAGAGGTTCCAGGATTTGCCCTCGTTTAAGATTGGAAGTGAGATAAAGCACTGGATTGGGCTGTACGATAGGATGTTGTCAGTAGGAGTAAAATATCTGGAGAATCAGCAGTTGTTAAATAGATATAACTGGGATTTAAATTAACCTGGCAATTTAACAGTAAATGATTACCTGTAACAATAGAAAATTTTTGCAGCCCAATTGGGGTCATATTAAACTTGATTACTAAATCAAAAGGTTTTAGTGAGCAGGAAATGGGATCAGTGGACAAGGGGTAAAGTGACTCAGCACCTGAATTCACTGAGATTTGACAATGAAGAACATTGTTTAGTTGGCATCCCATAACATCCTTCTCAGAGGACAGCAACGCAACGTATCTGGCTAGAGGCATGGTCAGGTTCAATGCTGTGTATGCTGCATGAAAGGTTTCTGGAGTAGGTGTACAGGAAGGCAGAATAGCTTGTTAACGCTGCCCCGGGAAAACTGCACAACAATCCCACACATCAGATTGTTGGCATATTGCAGTGTTACATTCATGGGCTATTGTGTGTTGCTGGCAAGGCCAGCATTTGCTGCAAGTCTCTTGTTATGGACCAGACCAAATCTCCTCAAAATATATTAAGAAGAGAGCCTAGACCCCAACTTTTTCCTATTCTAAAAGGCAATTTGATTGGTCAAACTACCAGGCTTGAAGCAAAACACACTTTATTCTTACACTATATTTAAAATACAAACAAAAGAAAGAAGAATTGAAATAACTTAATGCTATCAGAAAACGTAACAGAATAATAGATTATTTAACTACGAAACAGCAACTGTTCCAATATAGTAACATCCCATAAACACACCCTCTGCAAGGGCAAATTCAGTAAAATAGATTATCTCTCATGCAATTCTAGCAGCAGGAAGAGAACCCAAGCTTTCAGCGGTAACAGAGAGAGGAATAACAGCTTCCACATCCACCTTCAAGACTCCAGCAATTATTGAAAGTTAAACTGAAATCCTGGTTCTGTGGGAACTTGACCCAACCCCTTCATGCTGCTTCTACTATTCCAACTTTAAACAAAAACCCAAGGCCTTGCAAGCTGTTTATTGGCTTGGAGCAGACCGCTCATCTCAACCTCGCTTCATAAAATCTAGGACGAAATATACCTCTTTAATGCCATAGTATTGTCACACCTAATTGCCTCTGAATGATTGACTTGCTAAGCCATTTCAGAAGGTAGTTAAGATTCAACTACATCATCACCAACCTGGAGTCATATATAGATCAGATTGTGTAAGAATGGCACATTTCCTTCCCTAAATGGCATTAGTGAACCAGATGGGTTTTTACAACAATGTATGATAATTGTCATGGTCACCACTACTGAGACCAACTTTATATTCCGGAATTATTAATTGAATTTCAACTCCATCACCTGCCATGGTGGGATTTGAACCCATGTCCCTAGTGCATTAGCCTAGACCTCTGGATAAATAGTACAATGACATTACCATTACTCATTGTCTCCCTCACCCTGAAAAGCCTCTGTGCAGCTTGAAAAGTTGTTTCTTTAAAACCTTTGTAAATAGACTTCAGAGAGCAGGAAGAATGGTAGTTGAGAGAATCTATTTGGGCAGGAAGAGGAAGGGGAATGTGCTTAATTGAATAGCTTTTTTAAAGTGCCAGTACATGTAGGATAAACTAAATGACTCTCCATTTGCACTATGTGAGTCAATGAGCTGTTCTGTTTCATTTTGCAGGAACAGCAGAGGAAGGGTGTGATCTTGGCATCGGACAACAACTTCTCAAAGGCCATGGCACACCACGCCACAGAGCTCCACATCCCTGTCTTCATTATTGTGCCTACCAACACCTCACCAGGCAAGGTGAAAACATGCCGGGAGTACGGAGCCTTGGTGATTACCTACGGAAATAGTGTACAGGATTCCCAGAGCCATGCAAAAAAACTGGCCACTGAGAATGGCTACCTCTATCTGCAAGAGTGAGTTACTAACTTGTTCTTGTTTCACTCTTATCTGTCTCTAAGTCACAAATTTCTGGGTCAACACCTATTCCAGGACTCAAGGTCAGAAACAATCTTGGTTGACACTCCAGTGCAGTACTGAAGGAATACTATGTTGTCAGATATGCTACCTTTTTTCCGATCTTCTTGCTCCGGTAGATGTAAAACATCTCAGAGTACTATTCTGAAGAAGAAAGGGAGAGGTCTCCCTGATGTCCTGGTCAATATTTATCCCTCAATCAACATCTCAAAAAACAGATTATCTGGTCACTATCACATTATTGAAGTGTGCTGCATGCAGTCAGGTTGGCAGGTCTCATGCATTACAAGTGTGACCACACGTCAAATGTACTTCATTGACTGTAAAGCACTTTGAGATGCCTGTGGTCATGATAAGTGCTATTTAAATGCAACTGTTTCCATTTTACAGACATTAAAATGACACAACCATTAAAACATGTCAGATTTTCTAATAATCCCAGTGGAAGGAGAAAGTCAATCATTTGGAAATATAATTCTCTGTAAAATATTCTTTGCTGCTGGATCAGGAAGACATCTTGTAACTCAGGCTTTTTAAAATTGACGTTTGTGAGAGGGGGTGGAATGTGGCAATAGAGAATTCTCATTTCTGAATACTCTTTGGCTAAGGAGACCCAATTGAGATGTTCACAATTCTGAAGGAGTTTAATATGGTGTACATGGACAATTTCACATTTTCAGGTGAGTCCAGAAGAAAAGGCAGTTACTGAGTGAGCTATTAACAGTTCAAGTGCAAAATTTGGAGGATTTTGTTCCTATTACTTATTCACTGGATGTGGGCGTCGATGGCAAGACCAATACTAATTGTGCATTTCTAATTGCCCTTGAGAAGTTGAGCAGCCTTCTTGAATCGCTGCAGTCCATTTGGTGTAGACACACCCACAGTACTGTTAGGGGTTTGCTGTGCGATCTTGACCCAATACAATGAAGGAACAGCAATATATTTCCAAGTCAGGATGGTGTCTGCCTTTAAAAGATAACTTGTGGGTGATGTTGCAAGGTGAAAACATGCTGTGGGTACAGAGCCCTGGTGATTACCTACGGAAGTAGTGTACAGGATTCCTGGAACCATGCAAATAAACTGGTTACTGAGAACGGCTGCCTCTATCTGCAGAATTGCCTTCTAGGTGGTAGAAGTCGTAGTTTTGGAAGGTGCTATTGAAGGAACGATGGTGTGTTCTTCACACAGGGAGTGGTGAGAAGCTGGAATAATTTTTCAGGCTGAAGCAGAAAGCCTAGATGCATTTAAGGAGAGGCTTTATGTAACCTTGGCCGTTCACCCAACTGGGCCTTGCCAATGTTTATACTCCACTGAAAGAAGATACTTGAGGGATCTGATGAAAGTGGGATTTAAGGTAGATAAACAGGAGGCTGGAAGAACACAATAAGCCAGGCAGCATCGAGAGGAAAGGAGAAGTCAATGTTTCAGTTATAACCCTTCTTCAGTGGGATTTAGACTGGTTGGACTCCCATGGCATATGTACAGCAGCATGTGGCAGTTGGACTGAATGGCCTGTTTCTGTGCTGTGGATTTGATGTAGAATGTTGTTGCTTGTGCCCTTGAGACACATGTTGTGCAATACAGGTTGGTACCTTCATCAATGATTATAGTTATTGATCAAGAATGTTCTTAAGGACTAAACGTTCTGAGCCTTTGTCATAGTTGAGGTACCTCCTCCACTGCCAGGATCTCTGGAAAAGACATGAGTGCACATGATTTCCCAAAGGGACACTAATTCAACCAAGAAATTCTCACAACTTACTAAATGGAAACGATGTCCAGGTATAGTGCTGGGGGTAAAATCATTCACAAAGACATCTTTACACAAAGAGTAATGAGAATATAGAACTTGCTACCAGAGGGAATGATTGAACTGAATAATATGACGTAATTAAAGGCAAGTTACACAAATGAAACAGGGAGAAGAGAATATAAGATTTTGATGATAGATTTAGATGAAGAAAGAAGGCAGCATGATGGAGTGGAGCATTAACACCAACCACACCTGGTTTGGCCAAATGGCCTATTTGTGTGACTCTTTGTGAAATTAAGGTATCTGCTGTTGATGTGAGTTATCACAATTAGTGGAACATTGACTATGTTGTGTGTCTTTCTGACAGGGAGGACAGCGCACCTTACTTGGCAGGACTGGGCACCATGGGGCTTGAGGTTTTTGAGCAGGTAAACAAGCTGGATGCCGTGATCCTGCCAGCAGGAGGAGAGTGTAATCTCCTGGCAGGGGCTGCTGCCCCCATCAAACATCTCAATCCGGGCATTACAGTCATTGTAAGTTAAAGCAAACTGGCACCCTCCCACTGAATTCAAAAGGAAGTTTGGGGAGGAAGTTAACATAAACTTGGGTTAGGAGATGGGAGTGAGTTAGTGGAGTTTGAGGGGAGTTGGTGGCTGAATTTTAAGCTAATCACTGCAAAGAGCTTTAGAATTATTGGGAATGAAGTCAGAGATGGGCATCAACACAAAACCGGCAGATTCATGTTGGTCACGTATCTTCCCCACCCATTATTCAGTAGAATTGATCATCCCATGTGTTGTACAAAGGGTGAAAAGTGGAATTCTACGTTTTATGTCCAATCTGCGAAAGCCAGTGCAATTTCAGTCCCTATGAGTGGATGATGTCTTAACCAATTTTACATCTTACTGGGGGAAACCAGCTCTTGAATATATAGACACCATAGTCCCAGAAAGCCATAGGATTATATGACCGCTTACTCACGAGAGAGAGAGCTCTCTAGTGTGTTTAACCTGAGGGGCATCACGCCGCAGGCAAGGGATGAGGTTGAGAAGGCAGGACCTTCACGGTGACATAGTTGGTGTGGGATTTGAACTCACTTTGTTGGTGTCACTCTGTCTTGTAAAGCAGCCAACTCAGCTAACTGATTCCTCCTTGAATATTAACTCCAATGAGTGCCAGTTGCTCTATATATCTCTGGAGTATGTCCTAGTTTGTTCTTAAAGGAGCCATCATTTACAACATTGTCAATCTAGTGTCAAAATACCTCCTGGAACAGATCAGTATATTTTTTTTAAAAAAGAATAGGTATCGGCCATTTGGTACCTCTTTTCTGTTCTGTTATCCAATATGATCAAGACTGCTCCAATCTTCATCTTATCGCCACATTCCCCTGCCTGGATCCTCCTTTGTGAATCAAAAATCTGTCTACATTTTCTCTAACAATGGCCTTTAATTCCAAGTTTAGAACACCACTCTATCTCTTTACCAGTACATGTGACATCTCCATTAGCCACATCATTACAGGTACCCCGAGTGTGCCTGAAATGGGTGCTGGTCATTTTACATACGCAAATAAGGGACCTGACATCTGATAGAGGTCCTTTTTGCAAAGTTGGACTTTGCATGACCACAGGGTGGACAGAGACCTGTTATGATCAGTTCTTTCAGATGTCTGCCAGCTCAGACAATGTTCCTCAAAGGGACTGCTGGACACTGTCACTGAAATTATAAGTTTTCATATATTTTTCTTATGTAATTGCAAGGCTGAGATGAATGGGAGTGTGCTGACAACTCTGAATTAAATTGACAAGCTAGTGCCAGCTATCACTGCCCAGCACACACACCCTGATCCCTCCCTCAACTTTAGACAATCGAGTTCCCAACTCCAGATTGAGGACAGATTAATAAACTAGGTTTATATTCCATGGAATATGAAAGGTTAAGAGGTTACAGTTCTTTAGCATTTTGAAAGGAATTAACAGGATAAACAGAAACCTTTTTCACTGCCGGGAGTCTGGGACAAGGGGACATCCCTTTCAGGAGGGAAGTTAACAAACCGCTCTTCATATTGAACATAGATGTGTGGACCTACCTCTCATGAAAAGCAGTAGGAGCGAACTGAGTGAATAATTTTAAATTTGAGATTGTTCAATTTTTACTAGCTAAGTGTATTAAGGATGTAGAGATAAGATGGTTGGATAAAATTAGGATACAGCTTTGGCAATGATCTAATTGAAAGGCAGGTCAAGCTCGAGGATTTGAATGGTTTCCCCTTGTTCTAATGAGTCTAAGATGACTCACACATATTTTGATGGGATATGGGCAGTGCTGGTATCCGCAATTAACAATGAGATGAGTGGCTTGCCAGAAGTCCACCGCATTATTGTGAGTCTGGTGTCACATGTACACTAGATAAGGTACGGTTCCCAGATTTTCTTCCCTAAACGACATCAGTAAATCGGATGAGTTTTTAGATATTTTCAATCAACCTGTTCAGAGATATTATGACACACTTTTGGAGCAGGTGAAAGCAGGCCTTCTGGTTCAGAAATAGGGACACTACCACTGTGCCACAAGAGTTTCCAGATGGATTTTTACAAAAAGCAGTGTTTGTTAGAGTTAACTTGCAATTTGAGATTTTTCATTCATCAAATTTAAATTCTACCAGCTACCACAGTAGGACTTGAATTTGTGTATTTAGAGCATGAACCTGGGTCATTAGATTATTCGTCCAGTGATATTGCCATCACATCACAATCTCCCATCGTTGGGACTGCAGTAAGCTCAGCAAATGAGGCTAGCAGGCCAGTTTCCTGAGGCTTGCTTAAGTGTCAGATTGACTCAAAGCAATTGGCTCAGGATAGGCAAGTGAAAACAATAGTGATAATATAAGTAAAGCAAAATCTTTGCTGAGCAACCGGAGAAGTGGAATTAATTAAAGGAGTATCATAACTAGGCAAGATTGTTCATTTTTATCAGGGTTGTGTCTGATTCCTCTTTGTTTGTGATTTTGTTTTCTAAGAGAAAACAGTGATACCTGGTTCTGTCTTCTTCACTCACAGGGTGTGGAGCCTGAGAGTTATTCAACACTTCAACAATGCCTCGAGCTGGGACAACCTCCAGCAGACTCAGCCTGCACTAGCCACAGAATATATGGAGGTAAATGACTGGGGAAAATAACTATGAGCCAGACTGACAGTGGATTTTTTTTCCCAGAACTAGTCATAGATCAAATTATGTAGCGATCACAACATTTAGCCCAAACTGTCCATGTCAGCATTTACCTGCCACATGAGGGAACCAGTCCTGATCTCATATCTCTTGGTTCCGTTTTCCTTCATCCACCTAAACAATCTAATTGTGGATAATATCTGCCTTAACTACTTACTTTGGAGTGATTTCCACAGTCTCATGGAATTTTGTGAAAATTTTTTCCCCTCTGAGATCTGCTTTGAGAGATGCATTTTGGTAACGATCAGAAATATCTAAGGTCAGAAATGGGCATGTTCGCTGATCATTGCACAATGTTCAGCATCATTTGCAGCTCTTCAGAAATTGAAGCAGTCCATGTCTAAGTACAGCCAGACCTGGACGATATCCAAGATTAGCATGATAAGTCAGTCATGTCACACAAGTGCCAGGCAATGACCATCTCCAACAAAAGAGAATCTAACTCTTGCCCCTTGACATGCAAAGGCATTATCATTGTTGAATTCCCCGTAATCAACATCATGGGTTGGGGTGGGTTTACTATTGACCGGAAACTGAATTGAACTAACCGTAGAAATACAGTGGCTACAAGAGCGGATCAGAGGCTACAGATCTTGCAATAAGTAACTCACTTCCTGACTCCCCAAAACCAAAACCTGTCTAGTATTTATCAGAGTGTAACAGAAGATACCATACTTGCCTAGATGAGTGCAGCTGCATGAAAACTCAAGAAATGTGACACCATCCAGGAAAAAGCAGCCTGCTTGGTTGGCACCACATCCACAAGTGTCCACTCCCTCCAGCACCAATGCTCAGTAGCAGCAGTGTGTACAATCTAAAAGATGCCCTGTAGAAATTCACCAAGGCCCCTAAGACAGCACCTTCCAATCCCACAACCATTTCTATTTAGAAGGACGAGGGCGGCAGATTAATGGGAACACCACTACCTGCAAGATCCCCCCCGCCCAAGGCACTTACCATCCTCACTTGTAAATATTTCATCGTTCCTTCAGTGTCACTGGGTGAAAATCAAAAGGGAACTCTCTCTCCCTTACAGCATTGGAAGTGTATCTATACCAAATGTGCTGCAATGTGGAGGTGCCGGTGTTAGACTGGGGTGGACAAGGTCAGAAATCACAGGTGAAGAAGGCTTGAGGCTTTGAAAACTTGTGTGATTTCTGACCAAATGTGCTGCAGCAGTTCAAGAAGGCAGTTCACCACCACCTTCACAAGGGCAATTAGGAATGGGATTTAAATGCTGACACAACCATAGAACATAGAACAGTACAGCACAGTACGTGCCCTTCAGCCCACGATGTTGTGCCGACCTGTTATCCTACTAAGATCAATCTACCCTGCATGCCCTACATTTTACTATCCTCCATATGCCTATCCAAGAGTCGCTTAAAAGTCTCTAAAGTATCTGACTCCACTATCACTGCCAGCAGTGCATTTCACATGCCCGTCACTCTCTGTGTGAAGAACCCACCTCTGACATCTCCCCTATACCTTCCTCTAATCACCTTAAAATTATGCCCCCTCGTAATAGTCATTTCCGCCCTGGGAAAAAGTCTCTGACTATCCACTTTATCTATGCCTCTCATCACCTTGTACACCTCTATCAAGACACCTCTCCATCCTTCTCAACCTCTCAACCAGTGATGCCCACATCCTCAGAATGAATAAAGAAATGTTGCCTCATAGTTTTCAACCATGGACAAGTTCAAGCTACTTAACTGATCCAAATAGCAAGACAGTCTCCCGAATTTTACACATGAATTCTACTGAATCTAATGAATCGGCTTGTAGCCAATGAGGCTCCTCAGCTGCTGGAACATAAACATGCCTCACCATGAAAGGTGAATGGTACAAGGAACATATTGTATCTTGCATTTGTAAGCTGACTGGATCAACAACACCAACCTGAAGTTTTTGACACAGGTTAAGCTGAAACTTCCATTATCTCATTGTGAATGGGAGCACTTACAAATCAGTGCTCACAGTCCCTGATACACCAGCCAAGCCCCATATCTGTGCAGCTAGAACATAACCCCAACTGTAACAACTCAATGAAAAGTTTCCTGAGATTTAATAAAGTTTATGGGGTTTTTTGTTTGACCCAGGAGATTACATGACTGGATAGGGAGTGCATCTACTATTTATATGCAACTTTACAAATTAATAGAGAGACCTTAAAATTCTGATTCTTGTTTCTATGGCAAGGCCCTTCTTGCTCTCTATAACTTCTGGCCTCTTGTATATCTGCAACTTTCATTGCTCCATCATTGGTTGCAGTGCCTTCAGTTCTGGGATTCCTTCCCTAAACCTCTGGTTGCCCTACATCTTTTCTTAAAATCTGTCATGATTTTGGCCAGCTACTCTAATGTCTTATTATGTGGCTGAGTGTCAAATTATGTTTGAAAACACTCCTGAGAATCAGTGTTTCTTTTTAAAGGCATAAATGCAAATCCTTGTTTTGTGTTGAATAACGATTAGTGATACTAAATGCAGAACTTGCACATCAAAGTTCAAAGCTTTCTCTTTATTTCACAGAATTGGTCAACTCTTCTTTTGGCAGTAATGCCTTTCAGATGACTAAGAAACTCATAGATAAGGTTGTTACCGTTAAGTAAGTATTAAATTATTCCATAGGAATATTCTTAATGATGGTTTACACATTCAGCAAAGGGTGTCTTGAATTAATTTTATGTGAACTACTATCTCATTGCAACAAGGAACATAGTCCTATAGTGCTGTACCAATTACACCTACTAATTAGCATACTCACTATATACTCATATTATTTGCACATCAATATAATACAATGTAACCTTTAGTTGACAGAGCCGATATATATAATATATACATACATATATACTGTTATTGCCAAAAATGTGCTGTTCTATATATGCTAGTTTAGCTGTAAATGAAACTGACAATCACTGTGAAGGTTTATAGGTTGAATACATTTTTAATCATAGTGGTCAATGCACAATGTTACCAGCCTACCAGTTACATCCCTCACTTGATGCGCTCAATAAGTCCTTTAACGATGCACCCGGTAAAATCTATTACATGCTAGTTCCCCTCCGACCATACTCTATCACCATTGTTTCTGGGCGAAAATCCTAGAACTCCCTAACAACATTAAGGGTGTACCTACACCACATTGACTGCAGCAATTCAAGAAGGCAGCTCACCACTGCCTTCTCAAAGGCATTTAGGGATGGGCAATAAATGCTGACCCAGTCAGTAATGCCCATGTCCACTGAAAATCCAGTGGTCTAGGCAAGTGATTTGGAAACACAAATTCAAATGGGACCTGGAGCACTTAAATTTTTGAAACACAGACATACAAAATAGAGCAGAAGTAGACCATTTGGCCCCTTGAGTGTGATTCATTATTCAATAAAATCATGGCTGATTTGTTTATGTTTCGAAAGAGGAAGCATCCTTTCCACATCCATATCCATGTCTTCAAGACCTAAATCCCATGGAAACATACCCAGCTTGTCCAATTATATTCTGGCACCATGGTAGTGTCCCAACCTCTGAGCCAGGAGACTTAGGTTTAAGTCCCACCTGCTCAGAGATGTGTAATAACATCTGTCAGCAGGTTGATTCGAAAATGTCTCAACAGGAGATCAAAATAGCACAAGATGTATTCAAGATCTGGTCTTGACAATGTCTGGTATAACTGAAACGGAACATCCTTACATTAACGATTTTTTTGTGTAATGAAGAATAGCATCCCATTAGCCTTTGTGATTTTATGTTCAATCTGCACCAGAACTCCTAAATCTCTCTGCATCTCAGAATTCTGCAGTCATTCTCCATTTAAATAATACACAGCTTCTTTATTGTTCTTGCCAAAGTAAACAATTTCACACTTTCTCACAATAACTCCATTTTCCAGATTCATGCCCACTCATTCAACTTATTTGTCTTTTTGCAACTTTCTTCTGTTTTCTTCATGACATAGTTCCTACCTATCTTGATGTCATCTGTGAAATTAGCTACCTTGCCTTTGCTCCCCTCATCTAAGTAATTGATGTAAGCTGTTAAATTTGACATCCTAGCACAGATCCTTGCAGAACTCCACTTGTTGTATCCTGCTAATCAGACAAAGACCAATTTATGCATTTTTCGTTATCTGCCAGCCAGCAAATATCCTACCCATGCTACTATGTTACCCCTCACCATGAGCTTTTATTTTCTACAATAGCCTTTGATGTGGCACATTATCAAATGTCTTCTGGAAATCCAAGTATGGTATATTCAAAGCACATGTTACTCCTTCAAAGAACTCCAACAAATTGGTTGAACGTGATTTCCCTTTGATAAAAACATACTAACTCTTCTCAATTACTTTGGGTTTTTCTAAATTAGTTTAAAAAGATCTGGAATTAAAAGTCTTGCTTCATACTGAAACATAAGATTCTTAAGGAACTTGATGGGGAAGGCATCAAGAGTATGTTTCCCCTTATAGGAAAATTTAGAAGAGAGAGCAGAGTTTCAGAATAAGGAATCACTCATTTGAATTGGGCTGAGGAGAAATTTCTTCTCTGACAGTCATGGATCTTTGGAATTCTCTGTTTAACAAAGTTCTGGAGTCTGCGTCATTGAATGTATTCAAGGCTGCGATAGACAGGGAACTATAGGGAAGTCGAGGATTATGGGGAGAAAGCAGGGAAATGGATTGAGGCAAGATCAGATCGGCCATGAACTTATTGAACGGCAAAGCTGATTCAAGGGGATGAATGGTCTACTCCTGCTCTTACTACCTGTGTTTTCATGTATCAGTAATGGTGACCACGTAGCTAATCAATTGTCATAAAAATCCAGAGCCCCTCATAAAAATCCCATCTGGTTCATTAATGTTCTTTAGGGAAACAAATCTGCCATCCTCACCCATCATTATAACTGCCCAATAGGCAGTACTTAAATATACTGCCTGTATGTGATGTGAAACATGTTGTTTTATCACATTGGAGTGATTTCCCTTTAAGAGCTCAACATGCAACTGAGACAAGTACTTGGATGTTGTCACATGACTACAGGGTCTCTGCACTGCAAGACTCTAGACACAGGCTGTGACTGAAGAATGTACTGTTCTATATATATATATTACTTTAGCTGTAAATGAAACTGACAATCACTGTGAAGGTTTATAGATTTATTTTGGATTGATCTTGCAATTCTGGAAGTACTTTTTGAGCGTGGAATGTTACAAAGCACTTTACACCCAATGATGTACTTCTACAGTCACAATTGTAATGTAGGACACAGAAAAGCCAATTTGTGCACAGCAAGGCCCCATGAAAGGCAATGAAATAAATGACCAGGCAATCTGTTTAGATGGAGTTGGTTGGGGGATAAATATTGGCCAGAGCACTGGGAGAATTCCAGCGCTTCCTTTGAAGTAGTGCACGTGAATTTTTACATCTACCTAAGAGTGCGTTTGGGGTCCTCTATTAAATGCCTCATGTAATAAAGAATGGCTATTTTGGCAAAAGTACCAGAGGCCTGCAGCACCTATCAGACTGCATTGAGAAAGAAGTCAGAGCCTCTAGGAGAGAAAGGAAATAAATGAGACGAAAATAAAGAAGCAGGGAATTAAATATCGGAAGTTGTCTCTTCCTCCTTCTGTGAGAAACTCTTGTCTTTAATAAGGTGTCTCTGCAACTCAGGGTGGAGGACATTCTACTTGCTATTCTTCGCCTGATGGAGTATGAGAGGGCCATAGTGGATGCTGAGGGAGCTATAGGCCTTGCTGCTGTGGTTGCTGGGAAGCTACCAGAACTCAAAGGCAAACGGTAAGAGTTTCCTCGGAACTATGGCACCAGTTTATCCAGTGATGTGCATTGTTATTGAACATTTTCCTCAAAGTAGATACAAGTTTGAAATCTCTGCAGGAAAATTAAATCCAAATCTTCTGTATAATGTTGCCCAATGTTATCAAAGGATGATACAATACAGAAGGAGGCCATTCTGCTTACTAAACATCTACCATTGCAGTTCTGAGGAAGGGTCACCGGACACAAAACGTTAACTCTGTTTTTACCTTCACAGATGCTGCCAGACCTGCTGAGCTTTTCCAGCAACTTTGTTTTTGTACCATTCTGAAACAGTTCCCACTCTCACAGTCCTTCCCCATAGTTCTGTATTTTTTTGTTCCCCTTTCAAGTATAAACACACAAGTTACTTTTGAAGGCAAAGGGCCCAGCTCCCTCCATGACTCAGCTGTTAAAGTTGACACATGGTTGAGCCAGTAGACCAGCAGATCGTAGCTACCATTTGTGATTTCAGCTGGTTTGCTAACTTTAGTTTTCAAAATGGATTCTTAAAATTACTCTTACACTTGTTTTATTCCCTAGATGGCAGCTCGTGCTTGAGAGAGTAGTTAGTGTGTGAACTTCGCTACCACAAGGGAGTAGTTGAATGGATAATGTGGATTTAGATGGACACTCGATAACTACATGAAGGAAAAAGGAATAAATGATATGCTAACAAAGTTGATGAACAGGATGATTGTACAGAGCATAAACACCACCAGAAACCAGATGGTTAAATTTATCCATGCTATAAATTCCATGTAATTCAATATAACATTTTATGTAGATTCAGTGTACTTTTTTCGCTTCTGGGTGTGGCTTGATTCAATGAGTTCCAAAGCTCAATTGCTGACGCCAACAAAGTCTGCAAAATGGTAATTGTTGCCTTCATTCCATAAATAAATTTAAAAGACATTTAGGTACTTGTTTTCTAAGGCGTGTATGATCTCCTTATCCATTTCAGCAATATTTACTCCTTCATGCTTAACTATAGAGAAGTTTGTTTGCCAATGACTTATCCATTCTGCAAGTTTATTAATGTCTTCCTATGTTTTATTACAATTCCCCTCCGTATTAACTACACTGTGACATTCCTTTTAGAATCTATTTAATATTAAGCAATGCACTAATTTTTTCTGTATCCTCTGTCTATAATTTCAAAGTCACTTGATGTCTGTTGAGATCTATGTCAGCCCTTTACAGAATTTGTAATTAAATCTTTGTATCTCCTTTACAACTATTTGATTCTCCAGGCAGATAGTGATTTCCTTTGAGAGGCTCTTAATTGTCTGGATCACTGTTAATACCCAAGTTACAATTATAACCTTTAGCAAATTCGGCTTAACTCTGTATCAGAGACAGTGTTGTGATCATCAAAATAGGTGCTGAGCCATTGATATGATCAGTAGAAGACCACTAGGGGCAGCACTGTGACTAATAGAAGAGTGGCTTTTCTTCATTAGTATTGTTTGGATTTGTGGTAGAGTTCCTGGCTGACTGTACGGTTACTACCTAGTTTCACATAGTTCTGGTGAGTTAGTGCATACCAGCTCTAAATTCTGGATAACCCCAAAGGATAATTGTATCAGTTGGGTATGATTGTATTCTATCATCTCACTCCCACATGTAGAAGGATCTAAAATCTTCCCACTATTCAGGCTAGGTTCCTGAAGTTTTGTTTATCCAATTATGGATGGTTATTCACACAACCATGGAACATCCAGTTACATGATTATTCACTACAGATTCTGCCACTGCTTGAAGAGCATAATGTATTGCCTGGAATCCAGATTCCGTCAGAAAATCCAACAAAATGGCATCAACTGCTAGGAAACCATCTGCAGAATCATTTCCCCTCTTTTAGGATTAAAGGATTTTGACAGTTTAAGCTGCAGGTCAACTTGCTTGATGTAAATGTTTACTGATTGGTCACGTGATCTGTCTTCCAGAGTGGTCGTTGCTCTATGCAGTGGCAATATAGACGTTCCCCTGCTGCATCAGTGCCTAGACAGGGCACTAGTAGTGGATAACAGGCTGTGCAAGTTCTCCATTCAACTGACAGACTGTGCTGGAGATCTCACGAAGCTGCTTGAGATACTTGCACGTGAAGAAGTGCAGTGAGTACAGAGAAAGCACCAGAATTATTTTATAAATGTGGTTAGTTCTTTGTTTATTTATTAAAATATATATCCATGGAATATTGACATTACTACATGAGCAGCATTTATTGCTCATTCCTAGTTTCCCTAGCGAAGGTGGTGGTGAGCTTCTTGAACTGCTGCAGTCCATTTGATGTAGGTACACCCACAGTGATGTGAGGGAGGGAGTTCCTGGATTTTGACTCACCAACACTGAAAGAACGGTGATATATTTCCAAGTCAGGATGATGAGTGGCTTGGAGGGAACTTGCAAGTGACGGTGTTCCATGTTTCTGATGCTTTTGTCCTTATAGATGGTTGTGGGTTTGACAGGTGCTACCTAAGGAGCCTTGTTGAATGTGTTTTATAATTAATTTTACTGGGTGTAGCGGTTATCTAGTTCCCAGAATACTAGTCCAGGAAATGTGAATTCAAATCCTATCATAGGCCCTGAATCTTGAAATAACAAGCTAGCATCAACAAGTGACAATTATCTTGTCAGATTGCCAAACAAACTCATTCACTACCCCCTCAAGGGAAAGTAACCTGCCACACTTACCTGATTTAACAAGGTGTAGAGCTGGATGAACACAGCAGGCCAAGCAGCATCAGAGGAGCAGGAAGGCTGACGTTTCTGGCCTAGACGTGTTGCCCACTTTCTGTCCTGTCATGGTATAGTGTGAGTTTAGATATGGGTAGGAACTACATTCTTTTTATTAAAATACACCCGTAAACAGAGACCCACATATATGCAAGCAAACAGACATCGACACAAACATACAAAAATATAGGTACATATAAACACCGACACTGATCCACACAAACACATAGGCATAGACCCAAGCTTCACCACGAATATTTGCAAATGATGGGTAACTGCACAATACAGACACCTCACTGAAACTCCCAAATATTTAAGCTACAAAATATGAAAGCAGCATTCTGAAATAGCAGACAGTTCAGGTGATGGTCAGCCATCAATATACCAAGATCTATTATGGTATTTTACATCTTAAAAAAGGACATGCTTTTCACAACTTATGTCACCAGTGTCTAATTACAGGGAGCAATGGCAGTTACGTCTAAAGGATTATGAAATACTTTCAATTCCAGGAAAGCTACAGAAAATAATTGTTAGTAAAGAATTTTCTTTTTATAAGATAGTAAAATGTCTGCATGTATTTGTGCATTGTGTGGTGTTTGTGAGTATACAAATACTTTTTATAACTTACCAATGAATAAAAGCTTTAGTAGCCATCTCATGGGCCATTTTAGGGAAGAGTTGTTCTTGCAGTGGCGTGTAATGTTATCTCCAGGCCAATGTTGACTATTTAACAGAACTAAAATGACGTACTGAACAATGAATGTTTGCAAAAAAAAAACCAGACCTTGATTGTCAGATCCCTAGGCACCCATAATTCACAGATTTCACTCGACATCGGTCATTGAGTTAGCCTCTCTTTAATATAAACCATTTGGCCTAATCCCATTCCTTCCTTGCTTCCAATACTCTTCAACATTCCTTTTATTCAATACTTGTTTCTTTCAAAGAAAATTTATGAAGTCTGACTCTCATTGCTGTCTTCTATTCATTGTGTTTTTTATCCATCTCTTTCTTGGCCTAGCGTGCTGAATATTACTCAGGAACGGGCTTTTATCACCTCAGATATCTTCGTTGTTAAGGTGAGAAAGAATTAAAGGTTAAGGTCAAATGAGTTTGTTATTTTATTGTCAAACATTCCTTTATTCACAGATTGTACATTGTCCCCACTTAGCTCTGACTTTGAATGCTGAATGGGCACAGGGTGATGTGCAGATGTAAACTTAAGAAATTTCTATTGGGTAAAGACTAAGGAAGTTAAATTTCATTGGGGATTGAGGGACACAAGAGAGTTGAATTGTCAGTAAACTTTAATTTATTTTGTACAGAACAATGAGTAAGGCCAGAAGTATTCGTGTATTATAATATGCAGGAAATTGTTTAGTGTTTGTTAGGTCAGAGTATTGAGGATTGTGGAGCTTTGGCAAGGAGAATGAGCTGAAATACAGATGATCTCATAGACAGGCAACGCTGGATCAAGGAGCCGAATAGCCTAGTATACTCCTGATGTGTTAAGAGTAGCACAAGAGAATAGAAAAATTTGAAAATTCTGCCAGCGTAAATCTCACACAGTTAGACAACGAATATTGTATGAAGAGCTGAGGCAGATTATGACCAGTTCTGGATACGCACTCACAGGCTGAGAGCACACATCAACAGTCAGAACATTTTGGGAAGCAGATTGTGTCACATCCATGGAAAGGAAATGTTCCTCCTGGTCAGCAGGGGGTGTTTTTGGTACACAGTGAGGCTGAGTATGGTAAGAAGAATTGAAATATCCACTTGTACATCTCTCCATCCTTTGTCCCAATATTGAAAGCCCTGCCTTCAACTACTTGGATTTTGCATTCTAGGATTCCCTATTTTAACCTTTCTGCCTCTCTATTTGCCTCTCCTCCTCTGAAACCCTCTTACCCTTGAAACTAAACTCTTTGACCAAACATTCAGTCACCCCATCCAAGCATTTCCTTCAACTCAGTGTCCTTTGTGTTTTTTTGTTGCACCTCTATGTTTAATGTAGGAAAGGTTTCCTACATCAAAGGTTTTGCATAAAAGTAAAATGTTATTACTGTGTGAGGATGTTTTACTCTCTGTTTCATGCTGTACCTCACTTGGGAAGAGTTGAAACCACGACAGAGGGAACTTTAGCCCAAGTTGAGCCCATCTTGCAAATGAACTAAAATTGTGTATGCTGGAAATGCAGACCTGGCACTAGACGTGCTGGAGACAAAGCAGAGTTCATTGCTTAATCCTGCACTGCAAGGCCAATCTTAGCTCTCAGCAATAGCATTTCTTAAGTGCCATTCAAAGCAAACCTTTCAGGGTAATTTCTGTTCATTTCAGTAGGCCTCTTGTGAGCACTGACTACTGACATGAAGTCCATAGTGACTAAATCTCACACTGTCCACCCTGACAAGCCTACACACTCTGATCAATCTACACACTGTCCACACTGACCAATCTGTATATATTGGTCACCTTGCTGTCTCCAATCTTTGATAAACTGTTGTCTAAAATTGTTGCCTCATTGCTATATCAAATTCCTAGTCTGGTCATTAAGAAAATTGTTAGGATCAATGAATTAATGAGAACAAGGGTTTAAACTTTACAATCGACCCTTGATCCTCTGAGGTTTACACCAACAGAGACAGTGCTGCTGTTATAGGTATCCCAGGACTTTGTAGCCAATCAGTGATCATGCTGTGCTCAGCCAGCTTCCAGTTATAAATATTGTATAACATTGGTCTTGCATGAGGAAACGGAATTATTTAGGAAAATACTCTGTTCATAGTTCCCAAAAGAAAAATGAATATATTCATTACAGACAGGGGAACGATCATAAACAGGATGAAGTAATTTCAAAGGTTTAAAAGCAATTTTTCTGGGCACATCCATTAGACTCAGTATTGCTGGTCAGCCTAGCTGCATGATGCCAGCTGGGAGTGTTATGAGAGGGCCAACAAACTATGAATTGACTCACTGTTTGAGGAACAAGCAGAGCTGACATTTAAAGGAAAAGCTGAACTGTAAAACCCAATCCAGGGTTGATGAACAAACACATATATATACCTGACTTCATAGAATCTTAGGGGCAAAACCTCCCAGATCAGTCTGGGTTTGATACAGTCTGGTCTGTTCTGTGTGGTTCCTTCCAAAAATGTTATGCTCACCATTTACTTATCTGCTGAATTTGTATATAGTTTGATGTTGTATTCTGGTAAGTGGACACTCTAAATGTGCTTTCTAGCTCTCAGGTGAGTCATGTGATTTCATTAAATATGAGGAGGCCTAATTAAGCCAAAGCAAACATTCCATCTCTCCCTAGAGCTTCAAACAGAACTTTGGGGCAAGCCTTTCTGCTCAAGCTGAAAGTTTGGAATCTCTGTGTCATAAAATCAAAGGAAAATGAAATTTCAATGGCCTCATCAGAAACACACAGTTCCTGAAACGACTTAATCCCAGTTATGTTTTGGTTGTAAATCCTCAAATGAGGCTCAGCAAAATCTGTGGAGCAGATAGGTGGAGAGAAGACAAGTCAGGGAGGCGGGGATGAAGCTAGTAAAGATGAGTGTAGGTAGGAAGTTGGGATGGGGGTTGGTCAGTGAGGAGGGAGGGGTGGGTAGGTGGGAGGGAAGACGGACAGGTCAAGGATGCGGGGATGAAGCTAGTAGAGGTGAGTGTAAGTACCCCCACTTCCTGCCTACACAATCCCCACCCCCACTTCCTACCTACACAATCCCCACCCGCACTTCCTACCTACACAACCCCCACCCGCACTTCCTACCTACACTCACCTCAACTAGCTTCATCCCCACCTCCTTGACCTGTCCATCTTCGCTCTACCTATCTGCTCCACTATTCACCTTCTATCATCGCCTCCCCCTCTCTATTTATTTCAGAGCCCCCTTCCCCTCCCCCATTTCTGAAGAAGGGTCCAGACCCGAAACTTCAGCTTTCCTGCCCCTCTGATGCTGCCTGGCCTGCTATTCTCCTCCAGCTCCACACCTTGTTATCTCAGACTCCAACATCGGCAGTTCCTGCTATCTCTCAGCGAAATCCGTGTTCTGTCACTTTTGTTATTCGGGCCTTCTTCTCATCTGGGATTGACACAAACTTAATACAACATCTACAATGTATTCCATACACAAGATACACTACAGGAACTCATAAAAGCATCTTTGAGAGCACCTACCAAACTCACGACATCTACAACCTAGAAAGACAAGTGCAGCAAATGCATGGGAAGACCACCACCACCACCTGTAGGTTCCCCTCCAGGCCACACATTGTCCTGACTTGGAAATATATCACCATTCTTTCCGTGTCACTGGGGAAAAGTCCTGGTACTTCCTTCCTAACTGCACTGTGGGTATCCTTATGCCTTGAGGACTGCAACAATTCAAGAATGCAGCTCACCATCACCTTCTCAAGGGACAATTAGGGGTGAACATGAATGCTGGCCTAGCCACCAAAACCCATATACCATGATCAAATTAAGAAAAAAAATTGGAGCCAAAATGTTAGGAGATCATATCATGAATAGTTCTACTTCCAGTAAAAATGATAATTGTTTTCCTACCATCTGCAGGATTTGGGATCTTTTGAATTCCATCCCACATGGACAGCAGGATCACACCAGATGGATAGAAATAATGGATAACAGATGATGTCCACATGGTTGCCAAAGCAACGGTTAAATAATGAAAATAGGGGCTTACTCTGACAGAGGAGCCATTTTGCTCAAAGCAGTGCAAAGCTAATAGATTAGACCCAAATGCTGGACCTAGTGCAATGTGTGATTAACTATCATTCATGGACTGACACAGTCATAGAGTTAGGCATTAACACACCCACTGAGCTACTCTCAGGGCCAGTCCTCACTGAGACATTTGAATATTAACACACATGTTCTTGTTGTCTCAGGAATAATGTGACAGTAAGTCAGTCAAATCTTGAAGGCTAAATTTTCTACCTGTTTTGCTGAACATCACAGAGCAGAATCCCACAATTTTGTAGTTCTTGTAAAATTCCCATGGTAAAACACAATTGAAAAAGTGCAGGCAGAGATGTCTCCCAAAGGAATCTCACATTGATTCACTTGTGGAGCCTGCAGTGATGGTCTTGTTCTTGGTTCTTTGACATTCTCAGCAGCTGAATTTTTTTTTTGTTTGTTGCACTCTGGATACTGCAGTTTTGCAATACTCAGAGGATTTAATGTGGAGTAAGTCCAGCTGGTGTTTTCCCATCCAGCTGACACAAATTTGGCTGCACTTAGTTGCTGTGTAACAACATATATCACTGGTGTGTTCTCACACTGATTAGCTACAGATGGGATTACACTGTTAGCATCTGGAGTCTGAATATTCCACAGCTTCAGGGCTAATATTCCGCCTGTAGCTGTGGCCACCATTTTATAAAACCTTTCTGAAAATTTAATCATTGAGTTCCCCATAGGTTAACTGAGGTGACATTTATTTTAACCAAACTGTTCGGAGGAGATTGTGACAGCACAGTCAACCTAGTGTCATACCTCCTGAGGAAATGATCAACCTGTGTCACATCCATTGAGAATCACAGCAGCGTTACAGTACTGAAGGATGCCATACGGCTGTTCCAACAAGCATCATTAGCCATTACTAGTAGAATGTGTGCTGTAGCAGGGTCACTATGTAACATATGCTGCTGGTGTGGCTGTGTACGAACACCCTGTTGATAAATATCTTAATAAGAATATTGGAAATGCAAACGTAATCCACTTTGAACTTTTCAGAGAGAGGTCAGAAATGGTGACAAGCTTGGAATTGCGATGAAGGAATCCATATGCAGAAATCATTGAAAACTAATGTCCAGTTGCAAAGTTTAACTAAGCAGACTGGGGAAAGTTATTCTGCAAATGATAAGAGGTCTGTTTAGACCCACTTGCAGTACTAGTTCCTGTGAAGTAAAGGGTTAACTATATCTTTACTCTAAGAATAACTACTGAGCATATGAGTAAGTAGCTGTGTCACAATGATGTCAGATCACAGGAAACTGGGCTCAAGTTAGTAGGTTTCAGAGATATTCTCTCTTCCCATCCCCTCTGTATAGTTTTATTTAATAAAGCCCGTTAATGTACATTTATCTGAGTGTAGGCACTGCACCTCAGGAAGAGTAAACTGGTCTTGGAGGTTTTGCAATACAGGACTATGAGGTCAGTCCGCATAGACCAAGTTTATGTTTACCCAAATGTTGAAGATTAAAGAGTGATCATGTTTAAGATGATTGTTGCTTTATGTCCCACCCTATTGGGTGGTTACTGTTAGGGAGCCTTTACACCACTCCATAAGTGACTTCTTTTATTTATAATTTCTCCTTTCTAAACAAAACAATTTCCACGTCTTTTCTGAATTGAGGTCATCCCCTTTTGTTCTGCTAATACTGTCATTAACTAACAGAATCACACCTCCACCTTTTCTTGCTTCCATGTTATCCCCAAATGTCCTATCTTTCAAGATTCAGATCCCAGTCCATTTAACTACACAGCCATGTCTTTGTAATGGCTACCCAAGCATACGTATTCATTTCTATTTGCACTCTTAGTTCATCTATTTTCTTGCATGTTACATGCATTCAGATACAGAGCCTTTAGCTTTATCCTTTTATTCTCTTTGTAAGTTCTAGTCTTACCTATTGGTTGACTATTAGCTTCATGTTCTCTATCTCTACCTGTCTTGGTCATTTCCAATATTAATGGCCTTTTTGGCCTTGACTCTACACTTTTGATTTACCATGTCTTCCCAAATTTGATCTGTTGCCCCAGTATTCAGTTTAAAATCCACTCTACTTCTTTAAGCATGGTTCAGCTGGAGGCTGACATGTCAGTACTGATCCCACTTGCCCCAATACTGGTACCAGTAACTGGAATGCACTCTGCCACACCAGTCATTGAGTCATGCACATGTCTCTCTAATTTGATTTTCTCTATGAAAAGTTACACATGCCTCTGTGCTCTGGAAAAATGCAGCGGTTATGACCTTGGAGATTCTGCTTCTTAATTTGGTGCCCAGCTCCTCATATTAACTATGCAGAACCTCCTCCTTTGTCCTGCCTATGTTGTTGGTACCTACAGCAACCGTGGGATCTTCCCCCTCCCACCCTCAACTTCCTGTCCACTCTGAGCAGATGTCCCAAACCCAAACACAACCGTCTAGATTCATGCTCTTTGCCGCAGAGAACAGCATCAATCCTTTTCACCATACTGTCCCCTACTGTCACTACATTCCTTCTAAATCACCATCCTTCCCTTGAGTGGTTTCCTGTATCATGGTGCCATGGTCCATTATTCACCCCCCTGCATCCTCACTTATCCAGACACACTGAAACAATCTCAAACCTATTGGACAATAGCAAAGGCCAAGACGCTGTGCTCTGGGCTCTTTCACTGCATTACTCACAAACACATTTTCATGTTCTTGAGCACTGACCAAATCAGATGATCCAATCTTAAGAGGTGTGACTGTTTCCTGGTACAGGGTAAGTTGCCTCAATGCTAAGCTGCACTGAGTTGATTGGGTTTAAATGCTCCTGTCAAAAAAGGTCTAGCTGACTCATATAATGAGGTAACAAGGTGCAGAGCTGGATGAACACAGCAGGCCAAGCAGCATCAGAGGAGCAGGAAGGCTGACGTTTCAGGCCTAGACCCTTCTTCAGAAATGGGG